CACAACAGGACTGTGGACTTTATTTCATAGGTCCTCATGGTTGTATGGCAGCGAAGCATCAGTTCAAATGGCTGATGTACTGTTGTTGTTGATGATGTTGATGATGATCCACAGCTCCAATCACACACCACATATCCAGTGTAAACCCGAAGGAATAAGACCGGGAAGCATGTGGATGAGAGCCACGTTTCATCAACGGAGCCGGCCCACACTCCTTCACAGGCAAACACAAGCATGCTGTAGTTGGGAACAAATTGCACAAAATTCGGTGGATGGACCGTAGTCCACTCCACACTGAGTGCATGGAACCACTCTTTGAGCCTAACACGGCCACAAGGACCGTGTACCCCGTCCCTTCAAGCAACGACCAACTGTCTCCTGGAGCCAGTATGGACGAAGTAGTGGGTAATAGACAGGTAAGCATCTTGTCAACTTGCACATCAAGCGCAGTCACACCGGGGATATCAAGAAACATCAAATCACTTGAAACGATGATACCAAATAAAATAAATCGGATAATGCATTCAGATATGGTGACAGAACTCTTCAATAAATGAACATATGAAATAAATTGGTTACCAACAAATTCGCGATAAGTTAACGACGTCGGAAAATATAGTTTAGGAAAAATGCCACAAACGCGAAAATGTTATCGAAGTTAACTACAATCAGCTTAGGCGAGCTGCGCAAATTTATGGACGGTTGTAGTATTAGGACAAATATAGCAAACCTACTACCTGGAATAAAGAGACTCAGCATGCAAGCACGCGGTTAGAAAATCGAACGCAGTGTACCTACAAACGCTGCGCCGGTGCTGCCTACATTTTCTGCACGACTCGTAGTGGTTTCAGTTTTAGCCCCGAGTGGCGTCGCTCATCGCTCACTAGGCCTGCCAGACTCCAGCACTCGCGACCGCATGTGCCACAACACCATGCGTTCGACGTCGATGAAGTGCAGCCCATCGGCGCCTATCGCTTCCACACTTGCCGCTTCTCCTCCGTATGCACAAGGGTTTTCTCTTGGACCTCGGCGAGTTCCTTCATGATCAGATCGCGCCATGCACCCAGATCAACTGCCTTTGAATCCGAACATCCGAAATCAACATCAGAACGTGATAGGCTCACTTTGATCATGTCCTGGTAACGAAGCACCGGTTTACCCACATGCCGCTTTCCATCACTCAGTTGACCATATAATAGCTGCTCCGGTTTCCGCGTCGAATCCATACGCCATACATGACCTAGCCACCTCAAGTGTCTCAGCAAAAGTATGTAGTCCAGCGCATCGATTCCACTTCGGCGCAACACCTCCGTGTCTGCTACCCTGTCGCACCAACCAATGCGCAGAAGCCGTCACAAACATTGCTGATGGAACCGCTCGAGAAATCGCATATCACCCCGGTACTTCCTCCATGTTTCGCTACCGTATAGAAGAACGGGCAGCATCATGGATTTGTACAGCATCAGCTTCGTGCCAATGGTAAGCTGATGGTTGTTCCACACTCGGTACTCAAGCTTCCCGAATGCCACCGCTGTCTTCGATACGTGGATACGAAGCTCAGTGTATTTGCTGGTTAGTCGATATCACACTCCCAAGGTAGCAGAAGCGGGAGGTGATATTTAATACTTCATCACCAACGCTGCTTCGCCACACCATTTTAGAGTGTACATCCGAAGAAGGCTGAAAGAGACAGACAGTTTTGCTTGTGTTGATGGTGAGCTCGAATTTGGCCGTTGTCGAAGCAAGAGCACCAGTCAAGCACTGCAACTCATCCGCGCTATGTGCAAACAACGCACAGTCGTCAGCAAACAGAACATACGGATAGGTGTCTCAAAAAGTAGGGTTCTCGCACCGAAATGACGGATGTTCAGAAACCCACAATCAATACGGTGCTCCACACGAACACCGTAAGCACAAGCCGCATCAAAAGCATAAGTGATCATGCAATGAAGATAAATATTAAACAGGACAGGAGCTAAGACACAGCCTTGCTTCACACCAGAGGTAAGTGCAAAGTCATCCGAGGTCTGTCCACTCAGCTGGACCCGTGACCGAACATCACTGTGCAGACATTCAACTAAACTTACAAATTTACTCGGACAATTAAACTTACCCAACACCAACCACAAGCCTCGCGGTTCACCGTATCAAATGATTTGGTGAAATCAACAAAAAGCGAGTACAAAGGCTGGTGCCGTTATCTAAACTTCTTCTGCAACTGACGAGTCACCGTTCGCATTCGCTGAACCAATGTCATGCAAACTGATGACAGCTGTCCAAACCGATGCAGCACGCCCAACGCGCGCATTAAAATCACCCAGCAGAAATAGTCGGTCGCTCCGCGGCACAGACCGTATCACATAGGATAGCTGAGTGTAGAATCGATCACGCGTGTCCTCAGCATAACACATGGTCGGACCGTACGTGCTTATAAAAGTGACAAACATACCTCTTCCGAGTCGTAGGCGAACAGTCATCAGTCGCGCGCTGATGCCTGTTGGTTCACCCACGAGCCGGCCATTTATGTGATCGGATATAGCAAATCCGACCCTTTGTTCACGTGGTGCTGAGGTGAGGTTGCCCACCCAGCAAAACGTGTAGCCAGCACGTGCTTCATGCGACTTACCTTGCTCAGCTAGCCGAGTCTCACTGAACGCCGCACTATCGATGTTGTACCGCGCCGGTTCCACCGCGACCAGTGCAGTGCGTCGCTCGGGGGCGTTCACCCGAGTTCCGGTCCAGTAGTGTGCGCACGTTCTAGCACCTGACGTTGTGCCTTGCTCCCAGGCACGAGATTGTATTAGTGGGCAATCGCACGCGAGGTGGCGGTTATACTTCGGAGGTTTGCTTGACGAACCCCATCCAGATCCTTTGGCTCAATGGCCTGATCCACAAGGCAGTAAGGAGCACATCCAGGTCGGGAATGTGATTGCAGAGACAGATTGGAATCTGTTTGATGACCGTCACACGCAGTCTTTGAGATATTGGAACGATTCATATATGTTTTGCGACCGTAGTAGGATACGCACCTGCGACCACGGCCAGACGCAGGTGGGTTTAGGCGGGTTTGCACCAGTTTGACCAGGGGATGCCTGGCTTGAGGTGGGCAGTAGCAAACCATTGAGCATCCGGAGGTGCCCTCCCACCGTCAGAAACAATGCGTGGCGCTCGTGCTCTACGGCAATCGAACAGTGAGCATATAACCCCTAGATATGTTGTCTCCCATGGCTAGGTTTTACAGGAAGAAAGCCATCGACCACTTCCTAACCGACGAGGATGGACTAGGATACTGGCAGTGCGGTCACATCTGACCGGAGAACGACTCCGGTCCTCAGCCAAATCCTTCGATTAAATGTACACCCGAAAGTCATCGGGTCTAGAACATGGTCAGTTCACTAACTCATGTGGATTGGTGTCCTGGATCTTATTCCGGTCGAGAGGAAGGCCTGTATTACCTAAAAGACGATGCTAAGCATCGTCGCTTCAA